GAACACATATTCTAATTTGGCAATGATATAACGTAATCACCCCTTTTTTTTTCGATATCATAGATATCTTTTTTATTTTTAAAATATAACATATCCTCAATATTTATTTTGTAAGGGTATATATTTATTTTCTGTTTTTGTTATATATATATACATATACACATATATATATATGCATGTGTATATATATATATACAGTATATATTATATGTGTGTGTATATGTGTGTGTGTGTGTGTGTATATATATGTGTGTGTATATGTGTGTGTGTGTGTGTGTGTGTGTGTGTGTGTGTGTGTGTGTGTGTGTGTGTGTATATATATGTGTGTATATATATTAAGGGTGGAGCCGAACCCGAATACGGTATTCGGAAAGGCACGAATAGCGTGTTTTTACGAATACTTGATTCGAACAAATACTTGAAAAATTATTTGTATTCGGGAGCAAGAAAAACACTATATCAAAAAGCAGCGTTTCCTCGTGAGACCACAGTGCATGCCCGCGTGAGTGAGTGAGTGAGTGAGAGAGAGAGAGAGAGAGAGAGAGAGAGAGAGAGAGAGAGAGAGAGAGAGACAGGCCCGGATTAAGAACTCAGGGGCCCCTGGGCACATTATCTTGTAAGGCCCCCTACCTGGCCGCACCCTAGTTGAATTTAAAAAATAAGAATAATATAATAATTTTTAAATAAAATGAATCTATAATTTGTTGCCCACATATTTAAATAAATGATATATAGTACATCTGTATTTATAGTCTGCAAAGTTTTAAATTATTTTTCAAAGCATTAAATAAAAATACTAATAAAACTACATAGCTAAAACTACATATATATATATATATATATATATATATATATATATATATATATACAGTTCTATGAATCTGAGTTCTATGAATCTGAGTCTTTCATAATACAAACACTGATTTACTGTCTCTCTCCTCCTCTCACTGTATTTTCTCTACTCTTCTCGTGATGAAGACTTGATTATAAACCTAAAAGTATCCGAAATCACAGACACTATACCTCTTCTCTCCCCTCTCTCTCCTCTTCTGGGCCTTTCTCTCTCTCTCCCTCTCTCTCTCCCTTTCTGTCTGTCTCTCACACGATGAATCCAGTCTGCGCTGCGCTGCCGTTAGCCTCCTCCGCCTGGTTAATGCTAGCTACTCATCATTTAAAGTTAACGTCTTCTTCTGTACCCTCATTCTCCTGATCACGGGTCTGTTTAAAGAAGGTGTGTATGGAAAATGCCTCAATAAAGATGCCTCCTCTCCTCTTTCTCTCGCGTTTGCTAAATCCACTTGTCCACTCATTTTTGATCTATGACAGATATAACGTTACACTAAAGTCCGCTCAGTTTAGTGCCGGATATTACAAAACTGACGTTTCCGCACTTGACCAATTACAGCTTTCTGTTTAGTTAAAGAAAGAAAGGCAATTTAAATATAATAATAATATTAATATGTGATCGAGATTTTTTTTGCTCAGAGGAAATACAGTTGTCTGAGCAATAGAGTTTTTGAAGAGAGGGAGGCGCGGCAGGTGCCTATAATAAGGCTAAACATTATTAAATACCCACGAGACACTTGTGACTTTATATCACATTTGCATTATTTTAAAAAAATGTTTCTTTCCTGTTAAAAATAAATATATTTCCAATCTGATATGTAACGGGGAGAAAAAAAAGTAGCACGAGTTCAGCTGATGGTGGATTCGAACCGAAATTATGATTAATCGCGTCAAAAGATGATGCCGTGTGCCTAACAAGGTGCGCCACTGCGGCTGTGTTATTTTACTGCTCTTTACTCATCTTATCTCTATCAATCAGGCATCGATGGGCGTAAACCCTGAATAGTTTAGTCCAACTAGATTCCAACTAGATGCGCTATTTGCAATTAGCCTAAAAAGACACTCCGAAATTGTCTTTTTTTCTCCCCCCTCGCAGGGGCCCCTGGTGCGCACGGGCCCCTGGGCCTGTGCCCATAAGGCCCATTGGTTAATCCGGCCCTGGAGAGAGAGACACGCTCAGTGCAAAACGCGCCAAAGCCCGAAACTGAAAGCGAGACGTGACTGTTAAGGGACTGTTTCATATGGATTTATTAATCATTCTTACTGTTCAGTGATCGCAAACTGCCGTAGTTTATTAAAGACGCAAACTCCTCACTGCACGTCAGCTGCGCGCCTTCAGCAGACCTCCTCATTCCTGCAGCACGAGAGCTTTATGATTGTTTATGCGCGCCAAAAGTGGCGGATCTGTTCTGCGAATATCTGACTGCGTTTCACCGCATCCCTAAGGACTGTTTGGCGAAATATTTGACTGCATGTCACTGTATAACAAACGACTGAAACGATATAACTAGAGAAATCTCCACTGTGCCACTGTGCCACTGTGCGTATGGCAAGCCGTTTTAGCATTTAAACCTTGTTGAGACTATCCATAAATATATTTAGAGATATCTCTAATTATATTTTGACTTGTCATAATTATAATTCAGATTGGAAATATCTGCAAATATATTATGACTGACTAGTCATATTCCTCCATTGACTTCCATTGAAAAATATTTGCAGATATCTCTAAATAAACAAACAAACAAACTTTGTGTCTTTTTTGTGGCTGGCAGATGATAATAGCAGGGCTGCATCTTTTAGTATTATATAGAATACTTTTGTTCTGCCAGATCTCCCAGGCAGGGTTTTATTTAGATTTATTTAGCTTATTTTTGGAATTCTGTCCATTGGAAAAAAGTTCTTTCAGAAGAAGAACAGTTTTTTAAAGTATTATTTGTTTTTATTCTGTCTATTCAGTGTCCTTCAGCAAGAACGGTGGTGGTGGGGTTCATAATATTCACAATGGTATATTGTACTAAATAATTAGTTGTTGGTTTAACCATGGATGAGATAATGGCTTCTATGTTATTTTCTTTTCAATGACATTTCTTATCACATGTTCAAAAACAACAGCCAATATTGCATATCTATAATTTATATAATGGGTATAATTAAACAATACTTTCACTATAACGTAAATTAGAAGTGTAATAGAAAAAATATATATTTCTGCGCCATTTTGAATTTTACTCGAATACAAATACAAATACAAATACTTTTCCCCCCTCAACAAATACAAATACAAATACAAATACCGGCTGCTCCGCACATCCCTAATATATATGTATGTATGTGTTTGTGTGTGTGTGTGTGTGTGTGTGTGTGTGTGTGTGTGTGTGTGTGTGTGTGTGTGTGTGTGTGTGTGTGTGTGTGTGTGTGTGTGTGTGTATATGTGTGTGTATTTGTCCCTGCTATGAATGTCACAGAGTAAGTTTACATGGACACCAATAATTCGTTAATTTTAAAGGGTTGAAAAAAAATTGGCTTTACAACATTTTATTAGTGTATAACCAACCCGTAAGACACATTAATACACACCTTCCTTAAAAACAGCGAAACTAAAAGCCTTTTCAAGCGCAGCCATATTTTTTCACTCCCCCAAAAACAAAAAGCAACAGCGAGAAGAAAAGAAAAGAGCGGCTGGAAAATGAAATGCATAATTTACAGGTTTCTTCTTTTTAAGACACAGCTCTTCCCCTTTTAAAGAAGACTCGAACGTAACAGTGCCCAGAGCGCTTCAAATACACGTATTGCATTTTTTAATACCGTACTTACAGTTTCTCAAACAGCCTCAACCCCTTTATGCTTCTTTTATAGATTTCTAAATGGCTTGCAATATAATTAATTGGCTGCATCAACTAACACAACATTTTGAGTGTGTTTGCAGTGTGTGTGTGTGTGTGTGTCCCTCAGTCTGCCCTCACTGTGTTTGCTTGCTCAAACTCACTTTCTTTTCTAAAACGGCATCGTTTCTGAGAACGGATGAAGCTGGGTTTCTAGTTTTACATGAAGTAAATGCCTCTTCATTCAGGAGACAACAGTAAATCCATAATGAAGTAATATCAATAGGAGTGATCAAGAAAGCAGATGCTTTTTAATGCACACATGCATTCTGAAATACTGTTGAAAATATACTCACCGGCCACTTTATTAGGTACACCTATCTAACTGCTCATTAATGCAAATTTCTAATCAGCCAATCACATGGCAGCAGCTCAATGCATTTAGGCATGTAGACATGGTCAAGACGATCTGCTGCAGATCAATCTGAGCATCAGAATGGGGAAGAAAGGGGATTTAAGTGACTGAGCGTGGCATTGTTGTTGATGCCAGACGGGCTGCTCTGAGTATTTCAGAAACTGCTGATCTACTGGGATTTTCACGCACAACCATCTCTAGGGTTTACAGAGAATGCTCCGACAAAGAGGAAATATCCAGTGAGCGGCAGTTCTGTGGGCGCAAATGCCTTGTTGATGCCAGAGGTCAGAGGAGAATGGCCAGACTGGTTCCAGCTGATAGAAAGGCAACAGTAACTCAAATAAGCACTCGTTACAACCGAGCTCTGCAGAAGAGCATCTCTGAACACACAACACGTCCAACCTTGAGGAGGATGGGCTACAGCAGCCTAAATGCATTAAGTTCCTGCGATATGATTGGCTGATTAGAAATTTGCGTCAACGAGCAGGTGTACCTAATAAAGTGGCCGGCGAGTGTATTTGCTGCTTTTATATCTAGTTTTGCATTAGATGTAATAATCGAGATGTTTTTGCTGTGAAAACTTGTAAAGTTGACCATCAGCTCTTAAAGAAACACACCAGCAGACAGAGTGAGAGAGAGAGGAAGCAGATGAATGAAGACGGAGAGATGAACAGATTGAGGAAACACACACACACACACACACTCGTACTGTCTCAAAGCTGGAGCTGTCCAGATCTGTCCATATCTCACAGTGATGGAGGAGCAGAATCAACATTAACACCACTGACGCTCCATCACACTGACAGAGACACACACACACACACACACACACACACAACAGTTACAAACACGCGTTGTCATGCACACATGCATGCTCCCAACAGATACAAACACACAGCAACACTTTACAGGAATGCTCACTTTCAAACAGACGTGCAAGCAAACGCAAACGCACACATATACACACACATGCATTAAAACACACACATGCTTATTCTTAGACATACATGCATGCAAACACACACACACATACATGCTCACTCTTAAACACGTTCATACACACACACACACACACACACACACACACATATATATATATATATACACACTCATTCTTAATCACACATTCATGCAAGCACACACGCACATATACATGCATGCAAACACACACACACACACACATACACGCTCACTCTTAATCACACATTCATATAAGTACATACACGCATGCAAACACGCACACACATTCACTTATAATCACACATTCATGCAAGCACACACGCACATATACACACACATGCAAACATACATACACACACCCATTCTTAATCACACATTCATGCAAGCACGCATGCATGCAAACACGCACATATACACTCACACACTCTTAATCACACATTCATGCAAGCACACACTCATTCCTAATCACACATTCGTATAAGTACATACATGCATGCATACATACAGACACACACACACACACACTCTTAATCACACATTCATATATGTACATACACGCATACAAACACGCACACACATATACACACATTCACTTATAATCACACATTCATGCAAGCACACACGCACATATACACATGCATGCAAACATACACACACACACACACACACACGCACACTCACTCTTAATCACACATTCATGCAAGCACATATATACACACACAAGCAAACACGCACACACACATACACACACCCATTCTTAATCACACATTCATGCAAGCACACATGCATGCAAACTCGCACATATACACTCACTCACTCTTAATCACACATTCATGCAAGCACACATGCATGCAAACACGCACATATACACTCACACACTCTTAATCACACACTCATGCTAGCACACATGCATGCAAACACGCACATATACACTCACACACTCTTAATCACACATTCATGCATTCAAACACGCAATAATTTTTCATACACGCAAACACTCACTTGCACATGTACACGTTCTCCTACACTTGCATGTGTGTGTGTGTGTGTGTGTGTTTCACCTGTCCTGATCACGTCTGCATGTGTCTGCTCTTCATTGTCTTTGCCAGAAGTCAGAACTCTTCCCTGCTGCACGTGTGACATCATGTCATTAATATTACCATGGTGTGTGTGTGTGATTCAGATTAAACAGAGGCCGCTATCAAGCTCTAAACAGCAGCTTCATCCACTTATTTGCTCATTCCCAGGGTCGTTGATATTTAGCTGCACCATATTGGTAACATCTTAACATATTTCGTAACATCTTATTTTTACGAGGGGAGTTGTCAGCCCAATGCTTGACCCCCAACCTGGAGGAATTTAGCCTACCCAATTCACGTATAACAATAATTCTGACTTCAACTGTAAATATAATATATTATAATTATAGGTGGGCAAAGGTTATTTTTTAATCTACAGTAATCTCCCTGTAATCTTGGAATTAATAAATAAATAAATAAATAAATAAAAATGAACTAAGGTGAAGCAATTAAACAAAAAACCCTGTGACATTTTTATGAAGTTGATATTGTGATGCTATTAACACAATTGAAGTGTGTATTAATTATAGGTGGGCATAGATTAGTTTTTTTAATCTAGATTAATCTCACTGTAATCTTGGAATTAATCTAGATTAAAATGGCTCATTTGTATTCTGCCGAAGGCATTCAGAATATGTGTGCTACCCAAATAATGACTAAAGTAAGTCTTTGAGAATGGGTTTCTCAAGCCAGGTGGCGCATTAGACCAGGGGCTTATCTCCTGTTTCCAGATTGCATCATGAACTGCTTGAGAAACTGTTCTACTGTGATAATTCTCAACTCTGAGAGTAGATTAACGGCCATATTTTTTAAATGCCTGATAAGAGTCTCGCATTAACAGCCCACCACTTGTTATATTACATTATATTACATAAGTTTATGATATATTAACACAAATATTGTTCTATGAATTAGTAGTGATGTTTAGTCAGTGTTTTTAATGTGTAATGTGATGTGTGTGTGTGTTTCAGGTGCTGGAGCGTCTCTTCCAGAAGGGTTTCAATGTGGCGGCGTCATGTGGTGGTGGCGTGGACTCGTCTCAGTTCAGCGAATATGTTCTGTGTCGTGAAGATCGGCGGAGTCACAACACAAACACACCCATCAGGATAAAGCAGGAGCCGCTGGACTAAACCTCGGCTACACACACACACACACACAGACTCAAACGGGGAATGTACTCTGAAAAAAAGAAAAAAGAAAGCCCAAAGAACTTCCGGCTCCGCCCACTTCACCAATCAGAGGATGACTTTACGCATATGGAATAAGGCCACGCCCCTAGGTGCAGTGTGTGTGTGTGTTTTTCTCTTCTCATTTCAACCTTGTTGTTTCTAAAGTTGGACTTTTTCACGTCTAGAGCCGTGATGTCTGAGCGCAGCACAACTTTGTGTTTTTCTTTTATTACCTGAAGAATGAAGGAGAAACTTTGAGAAACGCTGGAGCTGCCAGGACAAAACTGTCAGAAGAAAAAAAAAAAGGCTCATTAATGTGTGTTTGTGCACAGAGACAGACCATAATCTTAAAGCAGATCTGCAAACATTTCACATCCCCAGAGCTCTGATCAAAAGCGGGTTTATCTTATTTTCAAGTACAAACATCTGAACATTCCTTTAAAATGACGAGTTATATATATATATATATATTGAAGACAACATTATTGAAATGTTTCCCAAGTGCTGTTTAACATTGAAAGGATTTTATTCAACACATTTCTAAACATAATAGATGACAGCACATAATATAAGACTAGATATTCTTCAAGACACTAGTATTCAGCTTAAGGTCACATTTAACCAGTTAAACTCTGCGGCCTGGTACCAGGTCCGTGACGTCATCGACTTTCGCTTTAAGATTTAAAGGGCTAGCGTTGCACCAGACCCCTGTAAGTGGTTTCGTTTGAAAGTGTAGAATCTATATTTTATGCACATATGCATCACTTTGGTTTTTATTACACTGTACAAAAGTTATTTACACTTAAACACACAGTATTTTGAATACCCGAGCTGGGTATTGAACATTGGTTCATTTTCATATTTTTCATATGACACATGTACAAGTTATAGCTCAAATGAAAGCTCTTGCCGGTGCTCATACGGTTCTAGCATTCTTTTTACTGAATTATATTCTCATATCAAACAGTTGTCGAATGAATCGCGGTGTTTCCATGGCGCAGAAGTGAAAACAATACATATATGATCAATAAGCAGCCCCAGATAGCACAGACAGCTCATCTCTTACCTTATGCTGTGCGCTTCAGGGCCATTCTCCTCTGTTTTTGAGCTGATGTGCATAAGTAATGCTTTTATATGTCTGACGTGCTCCAAACACAGTGAATTATGTTCGATCAAACAAAAGAATAGTGAAATATGAAAACAATGATCGCTCCCTGTGGCTTGTACAGCACCTCTCATCAGCTATAATACAATAACATCTGCATAGATTACGGTGGAGACATTTTTTTTTTTCCTATGATTACAGACATTTGCAGGAACCACCAACATTAATTACAGCACGCTAGACCACACACAACCTAAAAGATACACTTTCACATTTGAGTTTAAAAAAAATATATACAAAAGCGCCTCTTTTTTTAGGTGTTTATTATAACACAGACAACATATACAGATATTTTACACACTTTCAATTGTGTTTTATGAAAATTCAAAGGGTTTTCTTTAAAATGAGACCAAATTTTTGCATTTACACCCCTGCATGTGGATTTGGAAAGCTTTTAAATTTGAGTAGGCAAAATCCAGGCGGAAATCCTAAAATAGTAAGTTAAAGGCTTAACTAGGTTTAAAAAGTTTATACTAATAGTAATAATATATATATATATATATAAATATTTACTATATATATATATATAAATAAATATATATATATATATAAATATTTACTATATATATATATATATATATATATAAATATTTACTATATATATATATATATATATATATATATATATATATATATATATATATATATATATATATATATAGCTGTGTGTATATATATAGGTGTATGAATGTGTGTGTGTGTGTATATGTATATGTGTGTATATACAGTTGAAGTCAGAAATATTAGCCCCCCTGAATTATTAGTGCCCCTGTTTATTTTTTTCCCCAATTTCTGTTTAATGGAGGGAAGATTGTTTCAGCACATTTCTAAGCATAATAGTTTTAAAAAC